AACATTAAATACCAGGTATGTTTCAAGTGTATAATTCTATAATACATCACCTGCATAATGCATTGTGTGCTCACCACCTATAGTCTAATTTCATTCCATCACCATATGTTGGACCCCTTTACCCTCTTCATTCTCTCCCCCAACCCCTTCCCCTCTGGTACCCACCATACTGTTATCTGTGTCAATGAGTTTGTTCTTTTTTTGCTTTCTGTTTTATATCCCAAATAGGAGTGAAATCATATGGCTCTTGTCGTTTTCTGTCTGACTTATTTAGTTGAGCATAATACTCTCAAGATCTATCATGTTGTCCCAAATGGCAGGATTTCATCCATTCTTGTGGTTGAGTAGGATGCCACTATATATATGTACTGCATTTTCTTTATTCAATCATCTGCTAAAGGACATTTAAGTTGTTTCCATGTCTTGGCTACCATAAATAAAGCTGCAATGAACAGATATCTATATGAATTTTCACATTTTTTTCAGGTAGATACCCAGAAGAGGGATTGCTGGGTCATAAGGTTACTGTATTTTTAATTTTTTGAGGAACTTCTACATTGTTTTTCATCATGACTGCATCAGTTTACATTCCCACCAGTAGTGAGTGAGGGTTCCTTTTTCTCTACAACCTCTCCGACATTCGTTATTTTTCATCTTATATATAAGAGCCATTCTAAGAGTATCCCCTATTTTCTTAACCTCACCATTCTTATCAATGGCATCATAATTGCCTTACTTTGTTGTTGTGAAAATCTTAAAGTTATTTTTACTCTTCTTTTTTTCTTTTTTCTTTTTCAGCCCCCATCATAAAGACTGCCCATTTTGTAATCGTGATGTTTTAATTTATTTTTTAAACTTATGCTGCTTACCTCAACTGGGACCTTTTTAAAAGAATATATTGATTTCAGAGAGAGAGAAAGGGAGAGCAAATGAGAGAGAGAAAGAAGAGAGAGAGAGAAAGAGAATGCATGCATAAATAAATGGGATAACATTTATTTATGCATCCATTGGTTGATTCTTATATGTGCCCTGTCCAGGAATCAACTGGTGTGTCTGGATGATGCTTTGATGCTCTGACCAACTCTGCTACCCAGCTAGAGCTCTAACCGCAGTGTTTTAAAAAATCTGATTCTTCTCACTTATTCTAAGTCGCTAAACATCAAATCACAAGGCCTTTCCAATAGATCAAGCAATGTCCTCTCTGTAGTCTTTTATTCTATACTGCTATTAGAATAATTTTTTATATGCTGACTTTAGCTGTCATGTGCTGCTCAAGACCAGTGCTGTTTTATTTTGAACCAAAATACAATTCTCTTGTTTGTCCTTTGAGGCCTCCACAAATCAATATTCCTTCACTGCCTTAGTTTCATGTTTCTAGCAACGCAGATCTCATTGGCTTGATCTCACTTCCTTTGTGCTTTATGTTTCTCTTATTTAGAATGCCCTCCCCTTCCCCTTCCCTCCACTCTATATTCTCTTCCTATTGAAAATCCAATTCCCATTCTTCAAATTAGGACTCTAAATTTGTCATTCACTCTTTGTTTTTACTCTGTGACCACAATACCGAATTTGCCCTCACTTGCCGGTTTCTTTCCCAGGCATTATTTTAAGTGGACAAAATGTACGTACTCTCCAGCTTTTTTTTATAACCTCATAATGTTCTTCCACTCTGTATGGCCCATTTCAAGGCATAGAACTGTGGTCAACTGACTTAAAAGTACGTAAAGTAAGAGACTGAAATTTGTGTTCATATTTGCAGTTATTAGTAACCCTGGTTTAGGTTTATGAGAGAAAGTAATAAAATTGCTCTCTAATAAGAGTTTGGCTATTCATAAACACTAGCCCATACCAATTGTTCTTTTATTCTGTGCCATTACTATTTAGAGGTATTGTCCCTTATTGTGACTTTATCTTTCAAGACATAATTTATTACTCAATAAATCTGAAACCATGAAATAGGTATGTAATTATACAAGTATACATATATCCTCTCTTTAATGTGGGCCCAAACCTACAGGAAATTTCATTAAGGGCATAAACAAACAAAAAATTACCTCAACTTTGATTGGTATTTCCATAGTTCCCTGAAATAAAATAAAGCCTGTTTGTTCTTAATATTTTTTATGATTTAGTGATATCCTATAGAGTACTATATTTTAATCTCAAAAAGGCAGAGAACAACAAATGTGGTAGAAGGCCATGCATGGGAGAAATGGGTTAAAGAGAATCAGCAAATCTAAAAATACACAGTGCCAGGCTTCCAAGGCAAAGCAGGCAATGATAGAAGGAGCAGAAAGCATTATGGGAACTGGTTTTATTTAACCCTGACACTGGGGGGGCAAAGGAATTTCATTCTATTACTTCTTATGAATAACTGATTTTGTTAAAACAGCATCATCACCATCATCATCATCATCGTATCACTTAAAATTGTATTTATAGAGGTCTTGGGGCTGAAACGATCTTGACCTATTCTCAAACTCTAAATGGGTAAGAATCCCGGCTTGCTGGCATGGAGCCAGACAGAGTGATTAGAAGTCTTGGGGCTAAAATTGTATCTGCAGTTCTGTCATCAACACCAATCTTTGATTCTTATGACTAAAATTATACTTGGCCATAATTATCTATGAAGCCAAAACCTAAAAAGCTCTAAAACTATTTTTATCACTCTTCTGATGGTAGAATATTACTTGATCTGACCTAGTTTGGTGGCAGAACCTTACCTGAATTGACATAAAATTATTTACAGTTTTTATTTGTGCCACTTAAAGTGAAAATTCATATATTTCCCCACTCAAACAATGTGTTTGAATACAGAATAAAGTTCCAGACCTCTTGGATATGTGATATAATATATTATATGAATCCTATTACCAGTCTAAAATTTAAAATTTCTGAATGTGGACACCTATCCAGCCCCAAAGATTTAGGTTTCCTGATTGTGGACTTGAATTTATTTTCACTTCTGATTTTATCAGGAAGAAGGTCTAACTTACGTACAATTGTCTTGAAAATAGCTCTTAAAAACCTTGAAGTTTCTGAGTGACTCTACCAAGTAGATAAGTTAGGTTTTATCAAAAAGAACTCTGGATACAAATTATACAAAGGGCCTGAAAATACTGTAAAACATGATTAAATGTAAAGGGGCACAATTCAGAATCCAAGAATGGAAAGAATTTTCCATATTTTATTTATTCCTTAACTTCCATAAAAGTGTGCTGAATAAAAAGAATTAAATGTACTTACAGATATATATGTATATATATATATATACATATATATATATATACTCACACACACACATACACACACATATATATTATGTACACATGTACATATTTTATCAATCTAATGGCAAACTTGGGAAACAGAAGTAGATCTATTGAATATGCATGGTTTGTCTCTATACCATGACTTATTTTCAAACTAGATCATAATACTCATTGAAATAAAAGATGGCTATTGTTGTAACCACACTCACATACACACAATCTCCACCTAATATACTTTACTGGCCATTTAGTTTTTCTAGTGTGCTTATATAAAACTAGATTTTTCTTACCATTTGCTACAGCATGGCTGGACCTAGAGGGTAGTATGTTGAATGAAATAAGTCAGCCAGAGAAAGACAAATACCATTTGATCTCACTTATATGTGGAATCTAAAGAACAACACACATGAACAAACAAAACAGAAAGTTAGTTCTTTTCAATATTTTATCCAGTGGAGTGGTGGCAGGGCAATTAGTGTTATCTCCCCATGTATTGTGCCAACTTTCTGAGGGGATAAATCTTGGGTGGTTCCTGTTGAACCGGAGGATTCCAAAGGGATCCGAGTTGTACACAACACACTGAATATGTTGAGGGTAGAGCAAGTGAAGCACAGGTTCTGTTATGAGCACTGGACTAGGCCTCACTCCCAGGGAGCTCTCCTTGACCTCTTTAGGGAAAAAGGCTGGCCCATGGCTGTTACAAACAGGGTGAGCACAGGATTTGCACAGTCCATCCACATTTGCTGAGGGTGCACCCGGGCCAAAATCGGAAGCAGACACTGGGAGCTGTTACACAGTTATTAGCAGGCAGAAGAAAGACCCCTTCTCTAAAGGAACTCACCATGTAGGCAGAGACTCAGGGCAGCCACAGATTAAAGGACTTGTCTAAAGCATATCAATAAAAGAGCACTGACAGTGTTATTAATATGCATTATGAAACTCAAAGGTAAAAACATTTCCAGAAGAAAAATATTAAGCCCTGGGCTTACTGAAAACATTTTGTTTTTTACCTTTACCAAAACCATGATTTTATGTATGGGATATGATTTGCAGAACGTGCTTTGTGTAGAAGTTAAGATGCTGTAGTGGGAAAAGGACCACAGAATACAGGTCAATTCCCATCTACAAGAGGTGCCAATAAAGATGAAGGGATGAAATGTGGTCAATGACAGATTGGATCTGGATTGAAGCCTTGGGCACAGAGACTCAGAGCCCCGGGACTGCATGCTGGCAGTTCTTAGAAACATTGCACGGACTGTACAGAGGCTATCATTTCAGAGCATGGGAATCTTTCTGTTTTCCAACATAATGTCAGAATTTTCATATCCCTTTGCCATGATGTAAAAGGGTTTAATGATTTCTTTTTCCAGACATCTGCAGTCCTTGGGAATGAAACACAGAAGACAGACCATGCTACGCCATGAATGGCAGCACTGTCCTTTGAAGACAATCTCCAACCCTCCTAACTGAAAACCCATGTTTCTGATTTAAATATGACACAATAATTACTCATGCAGCCCGGGAGAATTCCAAGTCCCTGCCTATTTGCAGCACTGTCTAAAAACAATCAACTCGTCTTTCAAATTTGACCAAACTACAAGTGGTCTGAGAACTCAGTTGTCTAATAAGGATGTTCATTTTGGCACTCAGCAGCTTACTCGTGGCTCACAGATGGCTTCTGTCTCATTGTGTATAATCCAATCATCCTGCCCTATTGACTCACACGCTTAGTCTTCAAGAGCAATGGAAAAGCTCGAGGTGACAATTGCCTCTTCTTCCAGATGTCGTCCACATAAAGAGCGTGGCTCTCACCACCTCATTGACATAGGATGTGACATGGCTCTCCAGGTCAGAGTTGCTCCAAGAAAGAAAAGGTAAAGAAAGAGGACTTCTCTGCATTCTCTTTCTGTTATTGCATGGCACTGGTGTAGGCAAATTATGTTCTATAAATGGCCTTTCTTTCCGTAGTAACTTGTTTCACTTTTGGCTGGGTACCCTGCAGAAAACATTTGCAACACCCTTGCTCATATGGTAATGGTGGCAATGTAGAGGCACCCATGCCCAAGAAAGGATTCTAAATCATTTAAAGGAGAAAAGCCACAAGATGTTTTTATGAAATAGTGGCTGTTTTGAAGGTACCATGTTACTTACAGGCCGACTTTCTAGTATTAACACCTGCACTTCTGCTCTTCTTCTCTGAAATCATGACAGTTTGTCTTCAATCTTTTTTTTTTTTGGCAGGATGTGGCTTTTATTTTCCCAACTTCTAAAGGATGCATAAGATTTTAGAGGCAAAGTATTGAAACATTTTAAGCTGTAGGTATGTTAGTTTCCTTTTTCCTTGAGGCTAGTGGTTAATAGTTGTGTTTTATTTCAGTATAAAAATACTCTTTCTTAAAAAAAAAAATCAAAGCACCTAAAACAAGGAAAAACAAGGAAATATGCAAGGCCTGGAAGCAGCTGGGTAAATTCACACAGGCTTTGGGCTTCCAAAGATCTGGCCTTCAGGGAATGACACTCGTCAGATTTTTACTTAAAAATTAAATTAGGACTTCAAATTAGTGCTGTATTCATTTTAGTAAAATATCAGCGCTGTGTATTTCTTCATTTTTTTTCTGTTCACTGTCATCATCACAAATGGTAAGAAATGTTAAGTACAGCAACAGCTAAGAAAAATTTTATAAATCAGTAAAAACATTTGAGGGAGAGTATTTTTTTAAACTTATTTTAACAGGATTTTAAACTGTTCATAATTTATGTATAGTTCTTGGATTGACCTAGCAATGATAATAATTGCTGGAGAGATAATAATTAAAAGATAATATCCTTTCCCTTAAGTAGCTTACATAAAGAATGGGGACTGGGGACTCTATATTTTAGTCTGGACTTACACACACACACACACACACACACACACACACACACACACACATGCACACGTGCGCTCCTTCTGTTGGAAATGTCCAGGTAATTGCTGCAGTTTTTCACATCTTTAGAATCCCAGAGTTTTATATGTGAAATCACAACCTTAGAACATTAGATCAATAGTGAGTATGTTCAAAATAGGTGAGTTGTTGAAAATCTGAATTCTCTTGCTACATCCCTGTAAGTTATGAGTTAACTTTTCTGAAGTCCTGTTCAGTGTCAATATGATCAGCACAGGAATCACTGATATGCTCATAAATTAATAGTAATAGCAAAAGTGACCTTTTTCTTGAGAGTTCCAAGACCCAACAAATATTTATTGAGTGCATACAATGTGCCAGGCATTGGGCTAATTAAATCTCCCCTATCCCTACATTTTAAATGAGAGAAAAGCTGACTCAAGGGAAAGAGTCATGGCCAACGGCCATTTAATTAATTTGCTGTCTGGGGAAATTGCACAGGAACTGGGAAGAAAGCCCAGGTATGAGGACTGCTACGTTGTGCAGAATACAATGCGTTTGTTGTTCAGAACTCCAGTGGAATACACATTTTATAAATACAGTAAACTAATATAAGATTACAATTGTAAAACAAATGTTCATGTAAAAATATCAGAACCACAACACGTTCCTGCATTTCCTAGTGATTGTTGACCTGAAGTGGAGATTTTCATCCATATAGACACTAACAGAGGAAACTACTATTAGGCCGGATCCTATGCTGTGATACCACAGGTGAGAGAGCCCAATTCAGGATTACATTAGGCATTGTTGAAAGAACCAGGCAGCAGGCTTTCACATGGGGGGAAGTAGAGGGCAAGTAGAGGGCTAGGCAGATATAGCACTTGTGCTGGGAATTTTACACAGGTGCTGAAAACAAAACTCCCATGAGATTTTACAGATGAGTCCAACAAAATGATGAGTGTAAGTGGCCAATGTCACACCTTGCCAATGAGGAACTGGAAAAGAAATCCTAGTGTAATCTGACCCAGGGGCCACATTTATAATGAATTGACCAGGGTGCTCACTGAAGTGGGTTTTCATCTCTTCAGTCATTATTATTAAAAATATATTTATTGAACACTTAGCAAGAGCTGAGCATCATTTTCGTGGCTGAAGAATTAAATGCGATTAAGTCACTATCTCTGTCTTTAAGAGTCTAGGGAAGCGGGCACCTCCATAAATAATACACTACAACACAGGTGGTCAATCTGGAAGATATATGCACAACGCAATGAATGCAAAGAAGTAGAGAGGGAAGGGTTCTGTCCTTGAGTAGGGGGTGGAGTGTGACCATGATATTGAGCTAGACTTTGAAGAAGCGGCAGTATTCCCTCTGTGGAAAAGAGTAAGGCTGCTCTAGTTAATGGGAACACTGAGGGTTTCCAGGTTTCATAGACTTAATGGAGGAGGTTATTATAAAAGAACAAGGCCCAGGTTTCACAGGGGAATTCACCTACATCTGCAAAGGTCATATATTCCCAAGACTACTCAAATTATGTCTGAGTATAGGAAAAGAAGAAAAGCCACAAGATGTTTTTATGAAACAAGAATTACATTATCATCTAAACTTTGGTTACATCAATAGCAAAAAAGAATTTTAAGAATAAAATTACCAGGAAGTATGTAAAGAAAAATTGAAATATTTTTGAAAGATACAAAAGTACATTTGAATATATTTGGAAATTATTTTGGGATAGCATGAGTAACCATTATAAAGCTATATTTATTTCTATTTTAATAATAAATTTAGCATGACCCCAATAAAAATAATACATTTGCGTTATGAAACTATTTAAGTAGATTTTGAAGTTTATATGGCAAAATAAATAAAAGTAGCTAAGAGAAGACTAAAAAAAGAACAATGAGAAGTGAGTATATTAAAACTTATTATAAAGCATCCATAATTAAAATAGTGTGATATTGATTCACAAATAGATAGAAAGACAGAGAGAACAATGGAAAAAAATAGAAAGTTCACAAATAGACAAAATGCAAATAGAAATATAGTGATGACATTTTTAGAATGTCAGGATGTGACAGAGAGCAAGGAAGTACAAAGAAAATGGTGGGAATATGTAAAATAAACACAGAAGGTATCTTGTAGTTGTTCAGACTAGTCAAATTTGGGACAATTTCAGCATCAACAATTATAATATTAATGCATTATATCATATAGAGAATATAAAAGTCCAAGGGTTACTGAAAATAGACAAATAAACAATAAATGCATACATTCAAGAGTAAGAAGGAAAATCTCTTTATGGAAAAATGTGTACTAATATATGGAAGAAAAATATAAAATAAAACAATTACCATTTTACACACCAATGTAATAATTGACTTAGACACGGTACATATGTCAATGGATACTAAAACCAAGGGGTAAAAAGTTTTGGGGAAACAAGATATCCACATAGTCTCAAATGCTGCCTGACAGATTACTTATGATTTACAAAGGATAAGCAGTACAACTAAAATAGAGATCTGACGGGTGTCACCTTTACTAAGTGATCAAACTGACCATCACCAACAATGAGACAAAATGATATTATGTGTCCCCTTATAAGATACAATGGGAAATACACAATATTATCGTTGCAGAATTCCTCCCTAAAGAATCTAATCAAGAGAAACATCAGACAAATTTAAAGTATGACACTAGCCTGGCCGGCATAGCTCAGTGGTTGAGCATTGGACCGTGAACCAGGAGGTCACAGTTCAATTCCTGGTCAGGATATGTGCCTGGGTTGTGGCCTCGATCCCCAGTGTGGAGTGTCCAGGAGGCAGCCAAACAATGATTCTTTCTCATCATTGATGTTTCTATCTCTCTTTCCCTCTCCCTTTCTCTCTGAAATCAACAAAAAAAAATTATTTAAAACAAACACAAAGAATGACACTAAAGAGATATGACAACCAAATGTAACGTGAAAAGTTAATTGATTCTTGTATCCTCAGATTTTGACTATATATATATACTAATATATATATTAGTATACAGACTACATATTATTTATCTCATACAAACTTGCAGCTAGTACTAAATAAGTTCTAGCGCTCTAGTGCACAGTTTAGTGAACAACACGGACAACAATATTGTATTGTAATCATCAAATTTGCTAAGAGACTACATCTTAACTATTCCAACCACAGAAAAAAATGATAATGATAGAGGTGCTAACCTCACTACCATGGCAATCATATTACAATACATAAATGTATTAAATAAAAATGTATACCCTAAATTTGTACAATGTTATATGTAAAATATATTTCAATGAAAAGTGATAAAATGAATTTTAAAATAAAGAATGAGGATAGAAGGAAACTAAGGATCATGAGGGAGGGGAGATTGTGGGACAAGGAGTGGAAGATACTTAAGGGCAAGACAGGGATGAGAAAGATGGGCAAAGAGAGAAGAGATTTTGTGGGCAAAGACAAGTCTACAGGCAAAGAGTAGGAGGGGCTAAGGATGTAGTAAGGAGGAGAAGGGACAGTGGGGTGTGGGATTCTGAAGGTCTCAGAACCCTGTAGTCCTGGTTTCCTATGCCCTCTTAGGCCCAAGAGTCTATGCATTTTTAGGCAGTTGAAAGAAGTAAGTTCTTGGTAAATCTGTAAACTTGGTCCCTGTAGCCAAGGTTGTTGTGTGTTCTGTACTACCTCTCTTCTCTTCTAGCCTTTAGTAGAGGGCTCCTTCTGTACCCAGGCCAGAAATTGGTCATTCAGAGAAAATAAATAACCATAAAATGTTGGCTAAACAAGATGACTTTTTAAAAGATTCATAAGATAAAAGAATAAAATGAAAAATTCCCATGTGACATGCTAATGTTTTTGTTATATTCACAAGAATATATTTTAAAAGATTAATAGTAACTGACAGCTATCAGAGGATAGGGACAGTGGGTTCTGGATGAAAGAAGGTGAAGGAATTAGCCAAAGAACAAATATGAGTAACCCATAGACACAGACAACAGGGGGGTAAGAGTGGGGTGGGGGGAGGTAGGAAAAGGAGGGAAGTGGGGAGACCTGTAATGGTGTAAACAATGAAAATAAAATAAAAAGATTAAATAAAAGATTTAGTAAAGTTCAGCACATTTTCAATTGTTTATTGGCTTTTTAAATGTTTAGTCATATAAATGGCCTATTTATATTCTTTGTCCATTTTTCTATTGATTTGTTTGTCTTTTTTTATTTGTATACATTTAGGTATTATGCATTATAAATATCAAATCTTTGCCTGTGATACGTGTTGCAAATATTTTTTCCCATTTTATTTCTTGGCATTTAAGCCTTTAATGCATTTGAAGTTTATGTTGGTGTCTGGTACAAGACTGGAATCTAAAGGGATTTTTCTAATTAGAAGTTAAAATTTTTTCATAATGCTATTTGTTGAATAACTCACCTGGTTCCTATTTATCTGCAATGATTTTTTTTTTCTTAAGTCTCATTATGTGGTAGAGTCCATTTTGGGATCATCTATTGTGTTTTAGTCAATTGTTCTGTGAATTCTTACACACAGGTTTAATTATTGTTGTGTTATTATGTAGTTTTTGGTTCATACTTTTGGAAATTTCTTAGCCATCTTCATATTTTTACTATTTTGATAGCTGAGATTTAGAAACATTTTATCAAGTGAAAATATAAATATTGGCATTTAGGAAGTTTGTTGGTGGAGATGAAGGTGTGTGGTATGAATTTATATACTGTATTAATTCTTGATGTGGATGTGCAATATGTCAGCCTCTCTAGTCAGCACACTTCCATTGTGCACTTTGAAGTCCATCCCACCCCGTGGGTCTCCAGGCAAAGCAAGGCTGGCCAACCCAACTAGTAGTTACTCATCATCTTTTGTTTGTCAGACTTGTTACCAACAACCATGTGAAGAAGCCCAGGCTTTGGAGCTCACGCCTGTCTTCTCTGCAGGTTGTTTTGCAAAACCTTCTTAAATGTGTCATCCTCTTCTACACTGTGTACTACGTGGTTCTGAGCCTGGGCTGCAGGGCGCTCAGGTAAGCAGCACATTATCTATGAAAGGAATTTGCATTTAATACTTGACTTGTCTTTATGAAATAGAGGATGCAGATTTTTTTAATGGTATCTTTTCTTACTTTTTTTAAAGTAAAAATGAGCAAATGAGCCATCTTTGAAAATGATGGCTGCACACAACTACAGACTTAGTTACAGCAGAAGATGTATACTTAATGGACTCAGATCTTAGACCAGAAAGGGATCTCAGAGATTAATGGTTTCAATTTACAGATAAGAAACTAAAGCCAGAGGGTTCCGTGACTTGCCCAAGTGCACAGTTAACAACTCCACCAGGATTCGAACCCGGTTCTTATTGTTTCCAAGCCCGATACTCTCGCCACAGTATTGGGTTCTCCTCCCACATTTGTTGGAGGGGACTTCCAAGATTACAGCTGAGACCTCAAATACAATGAAATACACTATGTGGACAGTATGGACTTAACTGGACAAAGAAGAAAATGCAGATAAAGAGGTTGTTTGGCTGCCATTCAAGTCAGCTGGTTTTCAATGTGCCACAAAAGCAGGTAGAGCTAATGACTTCCTGTTATATGTGAAGAGTAATGTACAAAACCTTGGTGTGCAAAGTTATGGAGTGCCTCCTCCAACGTAAACTATTTTCATTTGTAACATCTCCAGGGTGGATGAGTTGGATGTCCTGGCACCATTTGATTTCAAAACAAATCCCGCATGGGCCAACTATAACGGTAATCAACTTTAATTTTCAGTCTTTGTCAATGAGTGAACTAATTGCCTCCAAAAACCAAAAACCAAAATAGTTTTTGTTTTATAAAATGTTTTGAAATATCAGGCCTTTCTCTCCGCCATCTGTATCTTATACCTGACTTCAAAAATGAATGTGGAAAAGCACTATACAATTTTCAAGTGGCTATTTCTAAAAGACAGGATGGGATGGAGTAAGTGGAATAAGTGGGTAGTGTTCTTATTTCAATTTTTATTTGTTGGTATTATGGGTAAACCTTTGTGTATTAAGCGCTTTTCAAAAATAAAAGGAAGAATGGCTTAGTGTACTAATGTAGAAAAATGTTTGTGAGATATGAAATGGGTCAGCCAGTGAGAGATAGGACAATGACACGGGCCTATTGGACAAGGCTGTGTTTTTACACAGCAGAGATTAGTGAAGATCCCAGGATGCCGGCACAATTTACAAAGTCCTTTCCTCTCACAAAGCACTAACATTTATACAAAGATATCAATAAACCTCCAACCTATTAGAGCTTTAATTTGGGGCTCAGGGAGATAAGTGGCATGACTCTTCAAAGTTGTTACTGTGAGAATCCAGACTTGTTTAATCTTGGAGATAAAAAATGTATGAGTAATCTCAGAGCCTTGGGCATGTATTTGGGGTCAAGTTTCTTGTCTGTTGAAGCAATTTTGTCATCCAGAAGCTGATGTTTAGGAAGGACACGAAGAGTGTATTGCAGAAAGTAGATTGCAAATTGCTTTCATTTTCAATTAAATTCCTCCCAACAACTTTTTGGGGTAGATAAATAGTACTCCGTTTCCCAATTCATAGAAAAGGAAACCGACTGAGCCAGAGGTTAAAATCCTGCTCAAGGTCTTATAACTCTTAAGCGATACCGCAAGATGAGAACACTGGCATCTTGACTTCCAAATTTGTACTACGTCCTTTAAATCATACTTTTTCTCATATCAGAAACAAAGATATTTTCTATCGATATATGCAAATAAAGTTTGTTCGAGACTAAAATCACTATCTCTGAGCAGCTGCGAGTTAACCTCTAAAATCTGTACATGCTGATAAAAAGCCATCTCTAGTTCTCTCTTTTTAAAAAATTTCTCCTGGACTGTGGGTGTAGTGGTCGGAGCCTCAGGGGGGAGGCAAGGGTGGTTGGTGTCAACAGGGGGCGGAGAGGGGATGGGAACCAAGACCCTGGACCACCTCCTGCCACCCTCCAGCAGGTCCAGGTCGGTAGGTCGTGGCTTTTGGGGGGAGCTGCATGCCCTCCCCCCGCCATCACCCTGCCCTGGGGACCAGCCGGGTTCCCCAGCCCCGCCGAGCTGCAGGATGGCAGAGTCACGTGGGTGTTTGTGTACAAGAGAGAAAACGAAGACAAGGCCAACAAGGCCACCCGCCAAGGTGAACGTGTACCGACGGTGTTTCCAGGCCCGCACTGAACCAAGTAGCATCCCTGACTTAGCGCTCTGCCCGGAGCCCGAATCACTAAGAGAAGGCGCACAAAACCAACGGAAAATCATTAGAGCCTAAGACAGAAAAGCTGAAGGGAGCGTTTCCCTGGAGGCAGCAGCGAGGGAAACTCACCGCTCACCTGAGGACCTGGGCCCGCTGGCGGAGGCTCCCGTCCTGCACGGAGCAGGCAGATGGCACCTCGGGTCGCTGAGCGCCTGCAGCCTCTACGAGGGGCCTGGCAAACGCTGTCCCCCGCCGCCGTCTGTGCCGGGATCGCCGACAGCCTGCTGCTCTGGTCTTCCTTCACGACAGAGGACCCCTCCCGCATGGCCACGTCTGCTTGTCGTCCATGCCTGTGGGTGAAGACGGGCACGGGAGCTGGGAGGGAGGGAGACAGGCTGCGGGGTCCCGGGCAGCCCGGAGTTTGCGCGGAGCATCCAGTCCGTGGAGACCCGGCCTGTAACCCTCCTGAAGAGACCGCTCCAGAATTCACGACTCCGCCGGAGGGGCCTGCACTTGCACTTGCACTTGCACTTGCACTTGGCACGGGACGCCATGCCTTTGGGGCGCGGGTGGGAAGGCGGCCGCGCCCCGCAGCTCCACAGGCCTCACCCCACAGTGTCGGCCCGCGCTCTGCACCACACTGTCCCAGGGCTTCTTCAGGAACGACTTCCTAGGAGTTGTGGGTTTCTTGGAAAGTTGAACATGGAAGAGTAAAGAGGGAAAAACGGAATTCTTTAAGTTTCTGCGGGACTGAGTCAGCTGCCTGCCAGAGGATCTGAGAGCTTCCCGTTTGGGGTGGGTGCCTCTGCGGCCGAATCAGCTAGTGTTTGCGGAGCCCGTGGCTGTGACGAACTTCCTTCCTCAGCTGCTTGGCCCCCCAAAGACGTTGGGCCCCGAGAGACCCCTCGCCTGCTGGCACGGGCCCTGTTCCGCTCGGGGTGGCCCCGGGCCGCTGCAGCTGCTAGCGGTGCAGGAGGAGCATGTGGGCAGTCTCACCTGGAGGCCTACTGGGAGCACTGCTCTGCCCAGCAGCTGAGGATAGTCCTCCCGCCACAGGTGTTCCTGGGCCTGCGTGACTCCAGCAGCTCCATCTGGCAATCACTGCTTCTCAGCCTGGCCTGCTGGTCTCCCTACTTGGACCAGCGGTGGTTGTGGGAGGACAGAGAACCAAAGTCTTCAAACGCACTGTCCCAAGTTTTACAAAAACGATTGACCTTTCCCCAGAAGGTGAAACGCTGTTGGTGTGTAGGTTCTTCAAGAAACCTTTCTTGCGATTCCCCCACGCACCTCATCTGCAGCCAGCACAGGCAGACCTCACCCGCCTTGGAGAACCGCTCAGGGGTATTCTCTAAAGATGATTTTTCTGGCGACAGGCCCATCAGCAACAAGAAGCAGGAACAGCAAGATTCCTACACCACTCTTTCCCGGGCAGGTGGGAATAGTGATCGGTTTTCTCAGCCTCGGCCATTTCCCATGAATGGACTTTCAGATGTGAAAAATATCTCAGGAGACAGTGAAAACCTCCTGCCAAGTCCCCAAGCATCTGAGGAGTAGCCCGACTAGAGCGATCCTGGGGAGCCTGAAAGTAGAACTGTCAGCACCCAGGTGAGGCCTCCAGAGCCCCGGGGACTGCCAGGTCCCTGCTCACAGACTTGAAGGTAGTGGAGACGTGGGATGACCTTAAGCACAGCAGCCTCAGTGATGCAGGGAGCCCAGGAGGTGGAATCACTGTTACTTCGGGGGAGCATGAGGCCATTCCCACTTCTCTTCTGCTCATCAAGCCGATCCCAAAAGACCAGTCCTATCCCAGCCCAGGCCCAGCCCCGGCCCCGAAAGTATCATCACGAGAAAGGCGCCCTAAGTGTCCATCAGAACTTGGTTTAAGAGAGGAGTTCACCATTCAAGTGAAAAAGAAGCTAGAGCAGGACCCTGAGTTGGCCTGGTTTGCTGACGTGAACCTGAAATGAAGCCTTCGGGTGCTGTTCTTGTTCTACCTGAACTGAGGACAGAAATAGTGATCCCCAACAAGGATAATATCTCACCAGGGATGCAGTTTTCCTCAAAATTTGCTGCAGCAGAAATGACTGAGGCAGAGTCTGAAGGCTGAGGAGATGCTGGGGAGCTGAACTGGGGAGATAGCAGCTGGTGACAATGCTGTGAGTTAAACTCTAGGAAAAGGGATCCTTTTAAAAAAATCAAACTAATACCTCAAAAGCAGGCTCTGCAGACAAGAAAACCCAAAGCATCCTGTTTTTCTCATCCCAGGCGCTTTTCCAGTCTGGCCAAGGAAGCAAGAGACCTTGGGTGTGGCCCTCAGCTGGGGGAAGAGCCTGTGCCTCTGACTAAGGCCAGGTACTTCTGGAAGTAAAGAAAGTAAATACAAGAACTTCAGACTGAAAAAAACAAACAAAACTCTATTGTTGAAAGTATTACAGATGTCCCCTTTGTTGTTGTTTTTCCCATTGACCCACTCCACCCTGTACCTGCCCTTCCCAGGCCTTCACCACTCTATTATATGTGACCATGGTCTGTGCATATCTATAATAATAAAAGTATAATACGCTAATTAGACCAGGCAGCCAAACGACCTTCCAGACATCCTTCTGGATGACCTTCAGGAATGACCAATGGGAGGGGGGCGGGGACAGCACGCCTGGAAAACATATATATAATTACATATTGTTTTTGTGATTAATCACTATGCTTTAATTATGTTCAAGTAGTAACAATGAAAATACATCCTGCATATCAGATATTTACATTACGATTCATAACAGTAGCAAAATTACAGTTATGAAGTAGCAACAAAAATAATTTTATGGTTGGGGGTCACCACAACATGAGGAACTGTATTAAATGATCGCGGCATTAGGAAGGTTGAGAACCGCTGCTCTATAGTAATGTGGGAGCTCTGTGAGCCACTGGTGGAGGTAGAAGTGGAAATGTGATGGGAAGAGGTGGTGTCAATGAGTACACTTGCTTCCCACAAGCTCAGTTTTAGGGGGGCAGAACATGCTGAAAAGAACTGCATTTCCATAGGATAGCAAAGGCACTAGTATGTCTTGTCCATTCAAATTTTGAAACCTGTTCAGTTAAATTAAATAGAATTAAAGAGGAGTATGTATGAGGCCTTTACAAACAAGGGCACCTGGGACTTGCACTTGGTGAGTGTCTTGCTCAACCAGTAGGCAATCACTGGCTTGCCTGTTAATAAATTACTTCTGCATAACAGAGCATAATGTGGTGATTTTACTTTTTGCTGTTAAAAACTATGGAGTTTACTTGTCCAGATTTATCAATTCCTGAATTATATCAATATGCCAATCATTTGCTGTTTTAAAAGGAAAGAGAGGTAATACTTATGGAAAGTGATATCATTACTAAGGGACCTTGGTGGTATATATCACATCTATTTGTCACTTTAAAGTTTGAAGGATCTCTTCTTTAAAATCACTATAGTCTTCAAGTTCCATATCAAAGACAAAGGCGAAAGCTTGACCTTTCACATTTCAAGACTCTTAGAGATTTGTGGTCCTGACCTGTGTGTGGTCCTGGCTCTTTATACATGTTCGGGAAAACCACTCTGAGACAACTGGTGGATTTAGGAGAGCGCCTCCATCCACAGGAGCCATTTATGAGGCTTTCTTTCATCCATGGTTATCGGTTATGTTTCCCAGGTGACTATCTGAACGTACCATTTTATTACAAAGACTCAAAAGAACTTATTTTCAAGTTAGGTAATGACTGGTACCAAAGAACTGTTGTAGTCCACTAAACTTTAACATTTTTTTTTTATTTCTGAAAACTCAGAATTGAATTTTTCATTAGTTTTTAATACATCTTAAAAATGAGACTTGCAATCCAATTACAGATCAGCATGCATTCGTTACATAGTAACTTTTCTTTATTGCATTTTACCTTCTGAAATGCTAAGTATGAAGAATGTGAAACAGAAATTATATATTGTTATTTTTCTATAAGTCTAAGGTTTATTAAGACATGAAAAATATTAAAATTTTCCAAATTTGATGATTGTTAAGAGAAGGAATATTAAGAAAATTTCTACAAAGACTGTTTTGCAGAATAACTTGTAATGGTCCTGATACCAATTGCATTTCAGAATTATTAGTAATTACTCTAATACCAAATAATTATATTCTTCCTTTTATTTGCAGTGCTTTTAGTCTCAACGGAGGTCACCTACTTCATTTGTGGATTGCTTTTCATTCTGGTTGTGGAAGAATGGGTTTGGGATTATGCTATTTCAGTAACTGTTCTCCATGTTGCCATCACTTCAACTGGTAAGCAAAATAAAATAAAGGAAACAAAATGTATTAAATCTGATGTTGTACCTGAATCGCTTCATAAGAGTAGAACTTTGTTGCATGCATAGTGTACTCTGATGACTAAATAATAAAAACTGAAGATGGAAGGTCTTCACCCACTCCGCTTACTCATCCTGCCTGCCAAGTTCTTCTACCACTTCCTCAGCAGGTATTGCCTAGTTACATCTTCCAATTCAAAACTGTACTGAAACGCAGGGGCTTCCTATTCTCCTTTCACATTCAACTTGTCGTTGACTTGTACAGGGTTTGCCTCTGTTGGGACTACTTTCCTATAAAATCCTTCTTTAAGGCAGAAATTGACCAAAGACTGGGAACTGGAACCCAAGACCTGTACTTGGAGGCTGGCAAACTTCCCAACACCAGTTAGTTATTTTAACAAGATTACTGGGTTCTTAGACTAACGGGTTTTTATTTTCTTCTATGGAGTTAGAAGAAAATGGATTCAAATTCAAGTCCCACTTTGTTTTTTTACCAGGTGTTTAGTCTTAGGCAAGTCACAATATCGCTTATATTAGTTGCTTCCTCTACAAAATGGGAGATACCTAGTAAAGTTCCAGCTAGAATGAGAAATTGTCTGACACAGTGTCTAGCATATAATAATTTCTGAGTAAATGATAGTTTCATCCATTCCTTCAAATCTACATGTCCATTGTAACTTTTTCTCCCTTGTCTTCTATTATTTTTTTATTTTTCTTGATTTTAGAAAGGAAGGGAGAGGAAGAGAAACATCAATGATGAGAGAGAATCATTGATAGGCTGCCTCCTGCACGCCCCCTACTGGGGATCAATCCTGAAACCAGGGCATGTGTCCTTGACTGAAATCAAACCCCGGACCCTTGAGTCTGCAGACCCATGATCTATCCACTGAGCCAGACCAGCTAGGGCTATTATTTTTTTAAAAGCATACTAGTCTAAGTATGAATGGTAATCTACCACAATTGTAATTCAAAGTTATTATTATTTGTTAACAACTTAAATCATTTATATTTTTAGCGCTTTCATTTAGTAATGGTATAATCAGTCTTTAACTTAAGAACACACAATTTCCAAATGAATTGCTGTACTCCAGCATCACTGCTATTGGAAAATGCCAGAATATCAATACTCTAGTATCAATTTCCTGAGACATAAACTCTTTCAGTAACTTGGAGGACCATTGAACTCTCATCATCTTAAATCTCAGTTTTATTGTGGGTCTTAATATTTCCTGGAAGACAGCCATAGGATAGTCACAGCAGGACTTGGGGGCATAAGGTGGTTCAGTCTTAAAGGTTGAGATAAGCAATTGGTTCTGGACCCAGAAAAGTTACAAGTTAATTGTCTAACACATGGCACATAGAAAATGCCTAACAAATATTGCTCAATTGAACTGAGTTCAGAGTGAAGTGGCTCAGAACTCCAGAGAGAGAGCCGGGCATTGAGGACACAGGATGGTCTTAGGACCGTCTCTGAGGCATATCACTTCAAATCACCATTGTGAGCTGACCTGAGACCAGGTCATTCATAACATCATTTCTAGGAGAGAAGTTTCAAATATATGACTTGACAAATGAACTTTACTTTAAGTACAAATTTGGGGGTACCTGATTTCATGAATGTGAATAAAATGTCTCTGTTTTATGTGGATATGATTTGACCAAACAAAAGTATTGCTTTACGAGTAACAAAATAATATGTTTTGAAAATTAACCTTTTTTTCTACTGCAGTTATGTTGGAATTTCCCTTGACATTACATTGGTGGGCTGCTATAGGTATTTATATACACATATATGACACCTATATAGATATTACATATATATGTATATATGTATATATAACATTTGTGTAACATCCTATATAATAAAAACATAGTATGAAAATTGTCCTTTGAACCGGGAGTTCATCTGCGAGTTTGACCAGGGGGCAGGGCCAGCCAGGGAAAGGGAGGGAGGCCCTGGCCAACAGCAGCAGGTGTCTGGGGGAAGGGTGGGAGGCCCCGGCCAGTGGTGACGGTGTATGTGGCAGGTAACCCGGGGAAGGGAGGGAATACCTAGCTGGCAGCCGGCAGCCGCTAAGGAACCTACCAGTGCATGAATTTCGTGCACTTGGCTTCTAATAAATATACATTTATCTATAAATTAGGCCATAAAACATTGTTTAAGTGGGTTAGGTCATTGGACCAGAAGACTGGTCATGGGCTTTATCATTCTAAAATTACAGGGAACAAAACACTGGATATATTTTGTGACATAATTTTTTGGTTCTCTTTCCATATGAATGGCAGTACTGTCTTTATAGTAGTACAAGAATAAGAGAAACTGTTTAATTTCATCTCTTTTTCTCTGCCCACAAATTGCACATCTGAATTTGTCAATTATATATCTAGTAAGAACATTAACCAAATGAAAGTGGAATTTTCTAAAGCTTTTTCTTTGAGTTAAGACCACAAAATATTTTTAGGTTTCCTCTTTTCAGTAAATTTGGCAATAGTTTTTATCTAACTAGTTTTCTTCTTAGTGATGAAAAATGGAAATGCAGCACTTTACCATATGCATTTCCCTAAAGTTGAGTTTCTGTTTATGATACCAGGATTACTAATATTACCTACTAATCTCTTTACAGGCATTTAATTCTCCACTTACCTTGCATATCCAAGTCTTAGATGTATACTTTTCTCCAATATTGTTAAGCACATACAGAAAACATATGTACAAAGTACTCATATTTTATTTTGTATAAATCTTTATTTATATAAAGATATAAATTTTTGTATCTTTTTTTTCTTTTTAATCCTCACCCGAGGATATTTTTCCATTGGTGGAAGAGAGAGGGAAAGACAGAGAGAAATATAGATGTGAGAGAAACACATTGATGGTTGACTCCTGCACGTGCCCTGCCCAGGGCCCTGGCCGAGGAGGAGCCTGCAACCGAGGTACGTGCCCTTGACCGGAATTGAACCCTGAACCCTTTGGTCTGTGGGACGATGCTCTATCCACTGAGCCAAACTGGCTAGGGCTCAAAGATATTAATTTTTAATAAATTGTAAAAAAAACACACACGTGCTATAAGTGTAAGTGGAAATGATCCTTTCTTTATGAAAAACAAGAACTTATCTTTTTTGGATTTTATTAACACCACAAAATTTACTGAGCCCTAGCCAGCTAAGTCACATAACAAATGTCACCTTGATATGAAAGAGAGTCAACCTTGGCATAATGGAATGGCCAATAGAATTTGTTAAAATAGTTGGGTGACTATTTTAGTTTCAATAACCAGGGTTGGATTACTCAGAGGATAGTTGTCAAATGATGTCTGAGGTAATCTTTTTGTTTTTCCTTTAGTTAAAAATTTAGATATAAGAGAATAGTGACTAACCATTTTGAAAATTCTATCTCTTGGTCTCACACTTGAATGTCTTTGTGTGAGGAAGTTGTGTGGGTCGTTCAGGCTTCTGATTCACTAAGGGCTTGTACCTCAGGGCCCTTTACCTTCAATGACGTCTTACTCTTACTGCCATAAAAGGAACAATGGGTTTATATAAGGCTGGATCAATCTTTTAAAACAAACTGGAATCATTGGGCCATTTTCATACAACTAAATAGCTCAGGTATGTGGAATTCTAGGTGTTCATTTTTCCTAAGAATTTGGCCCAAGTCAGAGATAATTGCCTATATTGAGAAATCATGCTGCAGAATATAGTGTATCAAAAAAATCTTTTTCTTTTAAATTATTTACGTGTTTGTTATACATCATTGGTAGCCCTCCAAGTGTTTAGTAAAGTGGCATCAAGCTTAAAGGATAGGAAAAAGGCAGATAGTAACTTCTCATTGATGAGAAAACAGGTGTGTGGGTAAAACCAGGCCAGGGTTGTCAAAAGTCTTTGAATGAAGGGAAGG